CTGACACAGCAGGGTGGCTCGGCGTCAGCGCCCACAGGTGCAGGTCGTGGGCACCCCGCACCCCACTGGCCCCCAGCAGCACCTCCTTCACCGCATCGAACTCGGCGCCCCGTGGTGTCCCTGCCAGCACCACCTGGTCACGGGAGGCCACCCTTGGCCCCCAGCCACAGCCCCCACCTGGGCCAGGGCTCCTGGTGGGATCTGCCAGGGCTGGGGGCTTCCCCAGGGGGACTAGGCTGGGCACAGTGGCTCCGGGCTGAGACAGCCTCACCATGGGGAAAATGTACCTGGGGTGGGGAGGAGGGGCTGGGGATCTTTGGGGGGCAAGGGAAGGACAGAGGGGTGGACCGGGGCAAGCAGAGGAGGTGAGGTGCCTCAAGGGCAAAGTATTGCAGCAGCTGCAGCCCCAGGAGCCTCTGTGCCCCCCTGCATCCGTGGTCTTGCACTCCCCTCACTCACCACTCACCTTCCATGAGGACCCTGAAGACATCCCTGAGGATGGTGAAGGTGGAACCGAGGACAAAGACCGAGAAGAAGAGAGTGCTGATAGGGTCTGCAATCTTGCACTGGGGCTGTAGAGAGTGGGGTCTGTGTGAGGCTGGGGGTCAGAGCTGAGCTGGGCCCCTGGGAGTGGGGCACCCTGCATAGGGCTGGGGGAGTTGCTCCTGCAGGCAGTGCAGGTGGAGTCCAGCCCAGGCACCTTGAAGTAGATGATGGTGGCAGCCACAAGGACACCGATGCTCTGCAGCAGGTCACCCACCACGTGGACGAAGGCTGCCCGCACGCTGGTGCTGCCAGGCAGGGGGGCATGGCCGGGCCGGCACCCCCCTGAGCTCTCCAGCTGCTCATAGCCCACTGCGCCGTGGCCATGGCCGACGGGGGACTGGTGCAGGATGTAGGCCATGCTGGGGAGAGCAGGGCTGGCTTAGTGCTGCGTTGGCAGGGCATGGGGGCCCCACTGGCCCTGCCTTGCCCTGCACGGGCAAAGGGGGCACAGGCAGGCACCGTCCTCCAGGACAGTGGAGGGGAGTGGGGCTGGAAGTGCAGCACAATGACAGGGAAGCTGCAGCACTGCTGGGAGGTGCATGCGACTGGGCAGGGATTTAGGCCTGGGGCTTTTACCAGGGCTCAGAAGGTGCTGCTTGGGGGGCCAGGGGATGTGGAGCATGGGGATGTAAGCACATGGACTGGAAGCTGCAAGCATAGGGGGGTGACAGGGAAGAGGAGGAGGCAGTGCTTGAGGACGTAAGGCTGGTGCACGGGAACAGAAGGGGACCAGGGGACATGGCTAGGAGTCTTGGGGTACTGGGGGCACATGTAGGGCAGGGCTCAGGCTGAAGGTGCACAGGGGCCATGTGGGACATACACCAGGTTGACGCCGACGGCGCAGGCGGACGTGGCCAGCATGGCTCGCGCCTCAATCTCGTAGTCATTGCTGATGATGCGGGCGGCAGCCAGGTAGACGAGGGCTGCGGTCACAACCCAGATGGAGAGGACAGAGGCCAGCGCACCCAGCGTCTCTGTGGGACAGGAGCCCTAAGTGCCCACCACCCGGCCATGGGGGTGCCATGGAGCCGTGCCCCCCGTGGAGCCCCAGGGGCTGTGCCTCTCGGCTCACCTGAGCGGTGCCAGCCGAAGGTCATGGTCTTGGTGGGTGGACGGGTGGAGACCCAGAGGGAGAAGAGGCTGACGGACATGCTGCCCACGTCCGTCAGCAGGTGGGCCGCGTCCGTCATGATGGCCAGGCTGTGTGCCAGGTACCCGCCTGCGGGCACAGAGCAGCTGGCACCCCGAGCTCTGCTGGCAGCCTCCCGCCCCGGCTCCCCTTACCTATCACCTCCCCGACCATGAAGAGGCAGCAGACGGCGCAGGCGACTCTCAGCTGCCGGCTGGGGAGCCTGCCCCACCCGGGACTGGGGGCCGGAGGGCTGCAGCGGCAATGGAGAGCCGAAGCCGGGGGAGGCGGCAGTGCCGGGTGGTCCTGGGAGCCTGTGAACAGACTGGGGGCGGGGTCGCTGCTGGCCACACCGTCTCCCGTGCCCCTGCCTGGCACCCCTGGGGGTCCCACTACCACCCTGGGGTCCGCAGCCAGGCAACCGATGGGGCACCGGCTGAGCCCCCCGGCGGGACGGGCAGCAAAGGGACCGGCGGCGGCAGCAGGAGGCGGCGGCACGGGGCTCCCGCCGGGACCGGAGCCGGGGGCGGTGCGGGTACCCGCGGGGAGATGTCGGTGGGACCGAGTTGTTGCGCCTGGGGCCGAGCTGTGGGACGGGGCACCGGTGCGGAGACGTGAGACGTGGGAAGGGAGGCGGGGGCCGGGGCGCTGGTGCGTGGGGCAGCAGTGCGGGAGCGGGGACGGACAGCGAGCCGGGGAGGGGGAGGTGTGATGGATGGACGGTACCGGTGTGAGTGGGTGACGGATGGACGGTACCGATGTGGGCGGGTGATGGATGGACGGTACCGGTGTGCGTGGGTGACGTTTGGGCGCCGGTAGCTGCCGGACGGACATCCGAGGGGGGAGCGGGGCTGGTGCACGGGAGGGACTGGCTCCGCTTGAGCGGAGGCACCGGTAGCAGGGAGGGTGCGGGTGGCGGCAGCGGGGTGAGGGTGCCGGTGGCGGACAGTCAGGGCTGACGCGGGGGCTGCGGAGGTGCCGATGTCCGTTTCGGATGGATGAAGACGCGGGGGCGGGCGGGGAGGGACGTGCCGGGGGTGTCGGTGCCGGGAGCGGGGGAGCCGTGGGCTTACGAGTGCCGAGGGAGCTGGGGGCGATGGAGATGCCGGGGATAATGGGGGAGCCGGTGCCGGCAGGGCGGGGGCGGGGGGACCCAGGGTTGCAAATGGGGGGGGATGATGGAGGTGGTGGTGCGAGGAATTGCCAGGGGCCCTGGGAGCTGATGGGGTGCCAGGGGTGGCAGTGGCGGGGTGATGAGGGTGCCGGTGATGAAGGTGCTGGTGCCGGTCATGGGGATGTCGGGGCGCTGAGGTGCCAGTGGTGATGGAAGTGCCAGTGGTGATGGAAGTGCCAGTGGT